GCAATGCAGTGGGGGTTTTTTGTTATGTTTCTGCTGGAGTGGCAGTTAGCTTGTTTGGCAGTTAGATTTGTTTTTAATAACGTTTGACGTCAGTTTTCCATTTAATTAGAGTTAAAATGATCAATTAATCAGCAACAAGTTTGTCAATAGATCGATCATCTGTGTTGTTTGTGCCACAAATTCACTGGTTTCACATTCTGTTTACGAAAGTGAATATTCTTCGTCTTCTAATGAAACTGAATATATTTGGGTTTTTGACTGTAGGTTGAAATTTGAAGCCTCTGGGAAATTGTGATGGAAAATTCCTCTATTTTTTGATAGTTAATGACCAATCGATTAATTAAAAGGCTCATATTTTACAAGTTGATCTGCTGGGAAAGAGAAAAACAGAAACATTTATGTGTTACAACCCGCCTTGTTTAAATAAACCAGTTACTCTTGGTATTCAATTGATTGTCATTGTATTTTTTTTTGCAGATTTGTTATTTTGTAATAATGGATCATGACAATGCTAAAGAGGAACCGTTTGCAGACTGTGATGTTTTAACCCCTAGTGGAGGTGCAGAGGGAGCCACGCTCCGGTGCAGCTGTCAGAAAGTTGCAGCTCCTCTTCCCTGTGACACTCTGAATATTCTGCTCTTCAGACAGCGAGTCGCAGCACGGGAGACGATGAAACTAGACTGAGTGATAAAAAATGATCATCACGTCCCATCCGACCAGTCGGATTTAATAATTATACATCCCAGTAGAAACTACACAGTTAGACGTTAGTCATTTGTAAGTATCTGGTTATTCAACTGGAAAAGAAAAAAAAAGCAGAAAGGCAGTATTTTATATTTGACTTAGAAGAAGAAAGTTCCAGACAACAACCCTCGTATTTTGGTGAATTCTTCAATTTTATTCAACTTGTATAAATCATAAAGATCGAAGAGTAGACTCTCTGTCCTCTCCATCCTCCTCACTGGAGCTTTCTGAAATTGAAAATATGGTATGAATGTTTTATTTCATAATGGCACCCACACCATTGTGGTTTTGAGAGTCTCTTGAGGGCTGCATGATGAAAGCATCAGAACAACAACAATTTAAATTGGTCATATTTTTAGTTGCTTATTTATATTTCGCCTCTGAATAACACAACTCTTTTGTTTTGAAACTCCTCACGTCCCACCTTCCTGTCCGTCCAGCCATTTTAAACCTTGTGTTTTGTTGAGGTTGGCTGTACTCACTCATTGTCAGGGGTCCCACACACTCCACTGCTGCATGTGCAAAAATAAATAGTGAAAATAAACCAATTTTCTTTCTTTTCTTCTGACCTTGTTGAAACCCATAATGTAGAAAGGTCTTAAAGCGACAAGTTGAGGTTTATGTTTGATGTTTAATGAGCTATGCATGAACATATATGTATATCCTATATTCCTTTTGTTAGTAAAAACGTCATTTACAGATCAAGCTGAATCAATAAGTTGATAAATCGTTTAGGCAAACGACAGAAAATTAGTATTTCAATAATTGATTAATCATTTAAGTAATTTTTGATAGGGTTAATGATAAAATACTAAATATAAATGGATTTTGGTCTGTTGGTTGAATAAAACTTTGATTAAGGACGAAAGGATTAATCAGGATTAATCAATCGAATAGTCAGAGGTTTATGAATGAAGTGTAATACAACTCCAGAGCTGTGTACAAAGTCAACTCTAATCACAGATATTAAACGAATGAAAATTGAGTTTAAGCCTCAAAATCATGTTCATAAGCAATTTTTCTTTATTAAATCAGAAAAAGTCCTGAAGTATTGAGGTGATGAACAAAATGTTGGGTTTGTGTTTTTGGCCACAGGCCGAACGTTGAGTGACAGAGTTGTTTTGGGTTTTTGTTTTTTTTTTTCCCACCATGAACACACCCACCCACGCTGCAGCCATGTACCTAGTCTTGTTGAGCTGTTCAAGATTGGGATCAACATCCTGTCTGAGTCTGACTGATAATTTTTCTGACAGTTAAATGTGACTCAGTTGCACATTTTCGAAAAGGGAATTTTTATTCTTGAATGAAACTCTTCGTTTTGTAAGACCCGAACCTTCTCTCGCGAAAGTCTTGATGCAATAATCACTCTCCCCCAGTCGTTTTACCCCCCCCATCGCCTCTGTGGCTCTGGTATAACCTGATTCCCCACTGTTACTGGCTTCCCGGTGGGGGCTTTGGTGGATGATGTTTAGTGTTTGACGATCGCTCCTAGTACGCGTGACCCAGTTCAGTCAAGCTGTCGCGGCACATAAGAGTCTCCTATCTCCTACTTTTTTGGTGCTGCATCTTCTCTTCTTCTTACTCCTCCTCCTCCTCAGCCATGCCAAGGTTCTCCCCTCGCTCCGCGCATCTGCAATTAATAATTGAGCATTTCATTCGCGTCGTATCCGAATGCAAAGAGGAGCCATAAAAGGATGGAAACGAGTCTGGAGGGAGGCGGATGGAGATCAGTGGAGGGAAAAGGAAAAGGGATGCTGTCGGAGGGAACGAGGGAGATTTTGTAGTGTGTCAGTAGGGTGTGCTGTCTACAGCCTCATTAGTTCTGCAAGGAGAGTGTGGAGAGGAGGAGGAAGGAAGCGAGACTTTGTTCTCAGTGATTAAAAAAAAAAACTCAGTCAGCACAGTGATGCTGGGTGTGAATATATGTGTTTGTGTGGGGGCGGGTGTATAATAAGTGCACCCATCCTTTACCTTTCTGTAAGCAAAAACCAGTCCCATCCTGCTGATGTCTGGCTGGTCATTGATTTCTTTTTCTTTCTCCCTCTGGTTTCAATTAAAAAGTCTCACTCAGAGCAGGTGAACATGTTCAGCGATAATCACACAAGCCGCCGCCGCCGCCGCCACCTTATTAACGCCAGAGCTCCTTCAAATACAGGACCCGATTCCTGCCTCATCAGGCAGGCGTTCGTCGTCGGGGGTTTGAGGTGACGTTTCAAAGCGCTGACTGGTAAACAGACAGGTGGAGGCGTCCGACAGGGAAGCATTCATTTGAATTTCTAGTTAAGCTGATGCTGTGCATTCAAAGCGGAGATAATTATAGGTTTTGCAGAAGCATAACATTAATACCTGAATTGATGCAGACTGATAATAAACCAGTAAATGTTTCATAAGTCACAGACACTTATTGACGTTCCTCCTGAGTTAAATGAGAAAACTGATTCCACTTTCATGTCCCTACAGTAAATATGAAGCTACAGCTGGTTAGCTTAGCTTAGCACAAAGACTAAGATCTTGTGGTTTTTGCACTTTTGTTTTTGTACAGATTAAGCAAACAAGATATAAGGTGTTAATTAGTGAGTGGCTGGAAGGCAGTTGGGACAGGCTAGCAGTTTCCTGCTTTTTCCAGTTGTTCTGCTAAGCTAAGCTAAGCTAACTAGCTGCTGCTTGCAGCTTTATGTTCACTGTACCCACATCAGAGTGGTATCAAAATGTCAGCTAAGTCATGCCATAGCAAGCAATAAATAAAGCATGCATACTTCACAATTGTAGTTTTAAAAAAATTAGATACAGTAAGTCAGACATATAAACATGTAGAATATCTGTCTGACATCACACATCTCAATGAGACTGTGCAGATTGTCTTGCACAATTATCATAACTGTTGCAGTCATGATGCAGCTTTAGTTGTTGACAATGGCCACAGCAAAATGAAAGCAGTTGCTGACGTGCCGAAACTTCACAGTTCATGTCAAGTTCCCAGCACTGGAGAAGGATGGTATTAGTGTCATGAGAACGCTTCCTTGTCTGTGTTTCTGCTTCCTTTTTACTGTCAAGAAGCTGCTAGGTGACATGTTTTATTGGCAAAGGGTTGTCAAACAAGATTTTTTTTACATCACAATTAACCACAAATTTTTCTTAAAGACAGTAAAAGTAAAATCTACAAAGAAGCGTTTGTGTTGTTGTTTCCTCTGTGTTTGTCGTTTGAGCCGTCCGACCGGTCGCATGTAAACGAGAGCAAGCATTAACTTTTTTTTTATCCGTCTCCATAGCTTTTGTTTACACTCGCAGTAGGTTAACATACACGGCCTCTTTGATAATCCTGCGTGTACTGGGCGAAGAAGCTTCAGTGTATCTCAGCTGTGTGAGATTATTTCTCTGCAATCCCTCCGCTATCCATGAAGGACCGAGGATAAGCTAGATGAGCAAGGAAATCAAATTCATGCATTTCAGCAGCTAGGTTTATCCTCTAAAAAGCGTGCTTTATTTACACTGACGGTCCAGTTTTAATATCTGCAATGTTCATGTCTATTTATCTAAAGACAAATTCTCCTCTGAAATATCTTTGATTTTCCTGAGGCCTTCGGTTCAAATTAAATCGGCAAACGTGTCTGTTAAGTGTGTTGTTATTGTTAATGTGTGTGTGTGTGTGTGTGTGTGTTTACCAGTCATGTTGCACAGACTTGACAGCCAGCTGCATCACTCAGGGGTCAGTCTGAGTTTACTTTGTCTGCAATGCCCAGTTTCCTCGTCTGTGTGTTTCAACAGGGCCGTGGGTGTGGGTGGATGAGAGATGATTCCTCAGTTCATTCATAGTTCTCTCTTTCTCTCTCTCTCTCTCTCTCTCTCGCTCTCTCTCTCTCTCTTTCTCATGTTTTCTTTCCTGTCACTTTCTCTTTTTTTAACTCTGTATTTGGCTCAGTGAGCAGTCTGACATTGCTTATGCGGCATCATCACATAAACATGTTGATAAAGCAAAATTATTATGAGAGTGAAGGACTGACACAAATTCTGAGTTTGATTATTGATTCATCTGTTGAGGATTTAACCAGATTAATCACTTGGTCCATAAAAGGTCGCAGCACAATTTCCCAGAGCCCAAGTTCATGTCTTCAAATTATTTGTTTTCATGTATTCAAGTTCACTATGGCACAGAACCAATTATGCCAGAAAATATTCACGTTTGAGAAGCTTTAAACACAGTTTTTGGCATTTATGCTAAAAAAAAAAAAATCAAAACACTTGATTAATTTTCTGGCAATAAACTAAACTAATCAATTCAGCTCAGAGCTTAACATTTTAATTTGCTCATTCTTCTTACAGCTTCACCTCAGTGTGCAGAGCCTCTTCACAGTTTGTTTCCAATGTACTGTATAGTGAAATAAAATATAATGTCTTTTATAGATCTCTATCCTGCCAAGTTTATCCAGCTCGTTCACGTCTCTCCCTTCTTCTTCTTCTTCTTCTTCTCCTTCAGCCCTGACGACATCGGAAGCTGCTGGTACATCCTGTTGTCCGGCTCCGTCTTCATCAAGGAGTCCATGTTCCTGCCCAGAAGCAGGTAGGATCATCATCATCATCATCATCATTATCATTATCATCATCATCATCATCATTTGGGGGTGTTTGATGGTTTGATCTTGGCACTAGCATATGAGCAGCTTTCTCCCTTCAAAGACTGTTTAGAACAGGCACAAAGGGAGATGAAAGCTAATCCTGGATTTAAAGAAAGAGCCAACTTTGATTTATTTTATCTCAAAAAAAAAGTTTGTTTCCCTTCTTCTCCAGACGAATAAACAGGAGTGACTCTTTTTTTTTTTTTTTTTTTAAACCAAAATTGGGTTTTTAAACATTGTGTTCAGAGAAGATACTAAAGGTTACGAAAGGAAAAGTTCTCAAAAGTTTTAACCGCACTGAATAAATTCACTCAGGAGAAACTGAAAGTGACAAAAAGTGAATGTTTTCACTTTCCTGCAGTTTTAGAGAAACAAAGCATTCATGGCCATTCAGCGTTCGTGTTGCATAAATCCTCTGTGTTCTCTCCTGTGGACAAAATAAACACAAACACACATTTCCCCTGGAAAAAAAAAAATGTCGAAGGTGAAAAATACCCAGACATAAACCCACGTAACTGCAGTCGTAGACAAACAAAGCATTCGCACCGTCTTCAGAAATGCTTTTGTTGCCGGTGTAAGACTGTAAACAGAGTCCCAATATGCTCCACACTGGCCAACATGGTGTCCGTCCTGACTAACACACCTGAGAGAACACACACACACACACCTGAGCAGTGACGTACACTGGGCATGTGCGAGCCGGTGTAAACAGGAAGCAGATTTTCTTCTCTGCAGTTAATACTGCGAGCGAGGAACAGCAAAGACATAAAATGCAGGATTAAACTCCTCAGCAGCTGCTAGCAAAGACAACAATGTCAGTAACACTTGCAACTCGTTATCATGTTGTATCCAGACGACAACGCAAACCCGGAGGTTTCCAAAACTGCGGCGTCGTGTGGACGGGAGGCGGAAACGTAGCAAAAGAGATGCGTTTCAAAACGTAAACGTAGGAGTGTGTACGCAGCCTTAACGCTACACCGCTACACACAGGCCTCAGCTAACTGGACACGACATTAAAGAAACTTCAGCTCCAAACTGTAAAAATATCAAGAGAGCAAAGTGTGCACCTCCCCGGGAAACAGCCCACAACAAAAGAGAGGAATTAAAACGAGTGGAAACTCAACATGCAGAGCTTGAGAGCAGCTAACAGCTGCTCTGATTGTGAATGTCTGCAACACTGAAGGGGAAATATAACAATCACCCTCCCAGCTCGGTTGGCAGCGTTTGAAGCACTGAATATTTCATGATTTACATATAATTCCATCCAGTTTCAGCAACGAATATGTGAGTATTGAAAGAAAGAAGAGAGGTTTATCATCAGGCCATGGATGATGGTTATCTGTGTCATCTTCACAGGACTTAAGATGCTCGTTCCCCTCTCCAGCTCACAGCAGTGATCACCGCCTCTGAAGCCGAGGCCCTAATGTTAAAAAGCTGCTATTTCACAAGTGGAACCGTTAGATGAACCGTTGCCGTGGGCGTCTTGAAACAATGATCTTTTCATCCATTAGTCTTGCATAACACACACCTACGGCCACTAAGAGCCGGAGGCCGTTGCTGTGGCCCGTATGGAGCAGAGTTGCGCCGGCGACGGAGCGGGGGTCGGCAGCGGTCATTCTCTGGATTCACATGAACGTGGGAGGCATTCAGAACGGAAAGCTCGATCGGAAATGTGCCAAAAGGCTGCTCCCCCTCTTAAATATAACCTTTACAGTTTCGCCAAGGTGAAAGTGTGTGTGTGGGACGCTGGAGGGGGGATTTGCAGGTATTGGCAGATTAAAGTTAAAGCCAGACTGCAGTCGCTGGGGGCGGGGGGCTGTGAAAATGTTTACTAAGCATGTGTCGAGAAGAAGCCCGTGTGGGGATTCACTGTGCTGCATGAGACTGCGCAGGTTTGATAATAATGAGCTCACTGTGTTTTAGAGTGACGTCAACTGCACCGCACAGGACGGCTGTGTTTTTCCTTCACCTGCGCTCGGAGTAAACACGTGACGTGCAAAAACTGCACGTTGACGCGTTTGAGTCAAAATCATTTCATATCACACGTGTGCAAGCGTTTGTCTTGGCGATGATGTTGAGGATCACATGAATAACATCAATGGTGGGGGGGGGGCTCTCCAACTAGTTTTAACTTCCTACATTTAATTAAAACTCAGCTGTAAAGCTTGGAGATGAAGAAAACACGGTTCAACAAACTGTAAACGCCTCATTAAAATCCATAAAACTGTGGCGTACAGTCAACAACACATTTAACAACAAACACTCGGAGAAGTTTTTGTTAATTCAACAGTACATGTGTTTCCTTTCTTGTGTTCTTATTGATTAGTATGTAGTAGTAGTAGTAGTAGTAGTAGTAGTAGTAGTAGTAGTAGTAGTAGTAGTAGTAGTAGTAGTAGTAGTAGTAGTTTGACAGTTACAGATTCTGGATGGTGGTCGACTGGTTAAACTTCTGACTCATCGAAGCTTTAATTAGTTTGAATTTGTAATTTTGGATTCACATGATTTATTTATTGGAAACAGTGATGAGAGCAACTTTGGATTCAGAATGTCATTAATTTTATAATTTCAGTTTATTGTTCACTTTATTACAGTTTCAGCTCCCACCTCCACCTCGGCCCCTCGGCGGCTGCAGGATGAAAAACTTTGAGGGGAATGAAGCGAGGCCTGTTTTTTTTTGTGGGGGGGTTTTTTTTTTTGCAATGACACATTCAAAGTGACACGTTACAATTCAAGGTTTCAAGGACTTACACGGGTCATGAAACCCACTCAGTTCTCCAATGACTGTGCAAATTTCCTGTTCAAGAATGTAAAAAAAGAGAGAAGAATGGGACTCATGCCAGTCGTGGTTTGACTGTTTTCCCACAAACCGTACCAGGGGGATTCTTTAAAGCAGCGTGGTGCGATACTCTCGGTCTAACTGGACGCCATCAGACGTCACGAGACGATATGTACGTCATGGTGTTTTCACAAGTGACGTGTTTGAATATCGAATGGTTGTTTATTCGTTGAGGATTTTCCTCAGTAGCAGCCTCTTAAAGATGAAACTGTCTTCGTGTTAATGTACAGCGTATTTTCAACAGTCGTTACAGTCTTATTTTAACGGCCGCAGTGACAAAGAAAAGTCCACACTGCATCACCCTAGTCCATGAAGAGGAGAAATGATGAGGGTAAAATGGCTTGGAGGGGAAATTGGTTGTGACACGAGGAACTGAACGGAGTCCAGCGGGACTTCCTGAAGCTTTTAAAGATGTGGTGGAATTGGGTTTCAGGCAGGCCCTGCCTAGAAATGGCTGTTCGTATCTACACTGGCAGCAAGGTTGAAAACCTGATACGCCTCCATCATTCTCTTAGTGCCTCTCTCTCTCTCTCTCTCTCCCTCCCCCTCCCCCTCGCCGCTCGCTGTAGTGAGATGTGATCCAGGGGAAGATGAATGACTCAGTCGTCAAATGAAGAAGCTGGAGCTCTGTGCCTGATTTAACCCGGATGCCTCTGTGAAATCAAACACAGCCCCCAAAATAAATAAACCTTAATAAATGGATGACACAGATTTAAAACATGTACAGGCACATGCTGCATGAACATGTAATTAAAGGAAGTTGTGCGACACGATGATGATTTATGTCAGATTAGACTTCACAGAGTGATCACCCAAAATAAATAAACCTTAATAAATGGATGACACAGATAGTCAAGTGGTTTTGGATTCACTAGAATAACGCGCTCTGTGCTCCTATGGGCTGAAGTTATGGACCATGTCTTATAACACAGAAGAAGAAGAAATAACACATTTCATACACACAATGCAGCTTCACCGACCGAAGAGAAAACAATCTAAAGAAACAGCAAATACTGACCAGCGGCCTTTTTTTATCGTTTTGTTGTGTTGGTTGTCTCCCACTATGATCAGATAAAATATTCACACCTGTTGTTCATTGTCTGTCCAGATGCCCCACGTTGGCCGATGTTCTCTCGTCTGATTCTGCTTGTCTGACTTTTGGCGCAGGGGTCGGTCAAGAAAAGTTGCAGACGTGGAGCTGTTTCTAAATGTTGAAGTGTTGATGCTGCAACTCTCAGTTTTCTGCACTGAAGTAGAAGTAGAAGAGCCTCTAATAAAATGTTGTGTAATGAACATATTGATATTTTTTTTAGTTACGGTTTTAATAATACCCCACAGTATGAAACCGTGAACTTCCACTCTGATGGACACTTTGACCCTGCGCTGGTTTTACTTCTCCTTCGTGCTGCTTAATGTCATTATCAGTCGTCTGCTGTCAGGACTCGTTTCCTGATCATCAGTCCTGATATTGGGAAAACACCAAAACCGCTTCTCTTAACTGAATCAGCTCATATCAGCAACGAGGATTCATGTTAACGAAAGAATGTCGTCCTTATCACTTCTGTGTGGCGTGGCTTTCTGGGGAAAAAAAAGAAGTTAATTAGAGCTCAAAACATTTCTTAACAGTCAGCAGCGGCTCGGACAGACTCATCTGTGACTGTAGATCACAAAGTTATTCTCCCCCTTTGCTCATACAGATCTGACTCAGCTCTGTTCAGGAGAATCGCATAGGATACGTCGTGTTGGTGAATCGTGGATACTTGGAGTGAAACTCAAAGGAAATAACAGAGCACTGCTTCTAGAACCATCCAACACGAAAGGAAAGATGTTAGATCTAATGGAAAATACATGAGAGAATATCCTCATGGTTGAAGGTATTATCCAACTTACATCATGGCCACTTGTCAACAAAATGGCGTATTAATCAATGAAAACTATCAGTTGTTAGATCACATTCAACTTTATTTTGACTGCGCAGAGTACAAGTACTAAGACAATACGCAGTTTACACATACAACTCATTTTCATCTAGCTTTTACCTTTTTTTAAACATCAAAATTGAAGCATCATAAAATGTAGATCCTGACCCTCAGAACATTTCTGTCGTTT